CCCTACCCGTACAGTGCGGGTTAGGCATAATTAAAACCAAAAATTAAATAAAAAATTAAAAATCTGAGATTTTCGAGTAGGGTCGGCCGGGTTCGTCAAATTCGGAGTAATTTCTTACAGCCCTAGTTGTTGTAACGATTGTGGTAATTGGCTCTTTCCTTGCCTATTTATTTTTGCATATGTACTGAGCATATAATTCTCTTGTTTCATATCCAGACGAAAACTAATACCTATAAATAGAAGAATCCTTTCTCTACCTAGAGGTATATGGAGTAACTGCTGTCTTTTCTTCCCCACTTTCAACAAACACAAACTGTGATTTTTTTTTTTTTTCTGAAAAAATGGTAGGAAAAGAGGCGATACGTAGAGACTTGTACTGATAACGTATTGTAAATTGAGGGATATTATGGCATTGTTGATTTTAACCATTTGAATTTTCAGTTATAAATTTTTATAGTTAAAAATTTTTAAAAAATGTCACATTTAACTTTTTCTATTACAGTTAAAAACTCTCAAAAAATATCATATCTCAACTTGAATTAAAAAATCAAATTCAGAAAGTAAACGAGGCCTATATATACTATTATATAAACAAGGTAAATAAATAGTAAAGTAAAGAGACAAATATAGAGAGAAAGTATTCTATTTTATTGAATTTGGGCTCTCTCTTTCACGCTCTTTTCTTCTCAATATTTCTTCTTCTTTCTACGCTCTCAAACTTTTGCTCTCGTTGTGCTCTTATCTGTGCAAATGAATGAGTATTTATAGAAGAAGAAGGACAATGCTTGTGATGAATCAAGAAGCTTACAAGCAACTTCCTAAAGCTGCTCACGTCACCAACAACAACATAAGGGGTGGCACACAAGTCTTCATGAAATAAAGAGTGCGTTTAGAACTCGTTTTAAAATAATTTTATTTTTTTATATGAAAATAGAAATAAAAACGTTTTTAATTTCAGACAGAAATTATTTTTAAGAATATGTTTGGTAGTTTTATCAAGAGATTATTTTTAATATAAAAAAATTTAGTAATGTCTCTCTCTTTCTCTGCTCAAGAGAGGAGAAAATAAAAAAAAAACGACTAAAAGTCGTTTTTCATTTTTTTTTTTATTTTACACTAAATCAAAAAATTATTTTTTAATTGTACCAAACGTTGTTTCTCTCCCATTTTCATTTTTTTTCTCAAAAAATGTAAAAAATAAAAATAAAAACAACTTTAAACACAACTAATATATATATATATAAATATATATATATATATATTTGATTGGTTAAACTAATTAGTGTTGTCGTAATGATTGTGGTAATTGGCTCTTTGTTTGCCTATTTATTTTTGGAGCATATAATTTTCTTGTTTCATATCATGTTAGTTTATTAATTCATCTCAAAAGCTTAAGCTGGAGGTGGACTAACAATAATTTTATACTTTAACACTCCACCTCACGTGTGGGCTGGACAATGGGCAATCATGTGGGTAAATTATTGGAAATCCCAACACGTGAATATTTAAGCTCGAGATATATTAAAGACCCAACACATGATGACAATTTAAATAGAGATAAAGAGTGCAATTACGAGAGTTTGAACTCAGGACCTCCCGTTCTGATACCATATTAGTTTACCAATCCATCCTAAAAGCTTAAACTCTTAGGAGGTGGATTAATAATAATTTTATACTTTAACATATCCAGACGACAACTAATACCTATAAATAGAGGAATCCTTTCTCCACCTAGAGGTATATGGAGTAACTGCTGTCGTTTCTTCCCCACTTTCAACAAACACAAACTGTGAATTTTTTTCTGAAGAAATGATAGGAAAAGAGGCGATACGTAGAGACTTGTACTGATAACGTATTGTAAATTGAGGGATATTATGGCTTTGTTGATTTTAACAATTCAAATTTTCAATTATAAGTTTCTATAGTTAAAAGCTTTTAAAAAATGTCACATTTAATTTTTTTTATTATAATTAAAAGCTCTTAAAAAATATCACATCTCAACTTGAATTGAAAACTCAAATTCGTAAAATAAACGAGGCCTATATATACTATTATATAAACAAGGTAAATAAATAGTAAAGTAAAGAGACAAATATAGAGAGAAAGTATTCTATTTTATTGAATTTGGGCTCTCTCTTTCGCACTCTTTTCTTCTCAATATTTCTTCTTCTTTCTACGCTCTCAAACTTTTACTCTCTTTGTGCTCTTATCTGTGCAAATGAATGACTATTTATAGAAGAAGGAGGACAATGCTTGTGATGAATCAAGAAGCTGACAAGCAACTTCCTAAAGCTGCTCACGTCACCAACAACAACATAAGGGGTGGCACACAAGTCTTCATGAAATAAAGAGTGCGTTTAAAACTCGTTTTAAAATAATTTTATTTTTTTATATGAAAATAGAAATAAAAACATTTTTAATTTCAGACAGAAATCATTTTTAAGAATATGTTTGGTAGTTTTATCAAGAGATTATTTTTAATATAAAAAAATTCATTAATGTCTCTCTCTCTCTCTGCTCAAGAGAGGAGAAAATAAAAAAAAAAACAACTAAAAGTCGTTTTTCATTTTTTTCATTTTACACTAAATCAAAAAATTATTTTTTAATTGTACTAAACGTCGTTTCTCTCCCATTTTCATTTTTTTTCTCAAAAAACGTGAAAAATAAAAATAAAAACAATTTTAAACACAACCAAAGTTTTAACAAAACTTTTATCGATGAAACTTGTTTCGACGAAACTTCTTTTAATGAAAGTTGTTAACGAAAGTGACATATGATCATCTTTAACTTTCACTACTAAAAATTTATGGAAAAGCAATGTTGGTTAGGTTTTGAGTTTCTGCATAGTACAAACACCAATTCTCTTTAAAGAATAATCCTTTTAGATGTTGAAATCTCGGTGAAAAATGTCATGAATTAAAAAAACTTCCAATACAATGCTAAATTGATGTGTCAATGTGAAATTTTAATATATAGGTGAAAAATATTCTCCAATATGATGTTATTTTTCTTATGCTAAATTTGATAAATATTATATCTGATTGCAAATTTGATGCCAATATAAAAGTATCAAACTTGATATTTAATTGTTATTAATTGGTATATTAACCTTTAATTTAATTATTATACCGTTTTTTCATTATTTTAACATTAGAAGTTTACTTTTAAAAGTTTTAAGATTTAATAACTGATCAAATATGTTCTTTTTACATTTTCTAATGACATATATAGTGTGGGCAGTTGCATTAGTATTGAAAATGATCTTACTTTTAACAATGATATTATATGACATAATTACAAAACTAATCCTTTCTTTTAGAAGATTACAAAACTAATCCATTTTTTTTAAAAAAATATAAAAGCTGTTATTATAAACAAAAAAGTGTTTGGTACACTAACAGTTTCTATAGGAAAAGATTTTTCCAACAAAATTAGCTATCATCTGTAAAGAGCATAATTAGTCAAAGAATGAGTAAATTTATTATTAGCTTCTCTAAACACATGATATAATTCAGCTCTTGAAAAAGATAATAAGTTAGATACATTTAACAATAACACTCTAAACTCATTACAAAAGGAAGAATAATTATTTACAGTTTTGATGATTATTAATGCACCAGACTCCACAAAATAGATATTTAGACTAGTAGAATCTGAGATCTTGTTCACTTCGCAGATTTGAGTTTTTAATTCGAGTTAAGATGTGATATTTTTTGAGAGATTTTTACTGTAGTAGAAAAAGTTAGATGTGACATTTTTTGAGAGTTTTTTACTATAGAAACTTAAAATTGAAAACTCAAATCGGTGAAATAAACGAGAGCTGAGTGTCCTTAAAGATGATGCAACAATCACAAAATCTGAAGATAAAAATCATCTTGAATAAATATGAGAATAAACTGATATGCTTGAAAAAAAATGTAAAATGTAAAATTGAAATTTATCTTGTAATTGTTCCGACAAAATAACTTTCTTTTTTTTTTTTTGAAAATTTTTCTTCAATAACTTACCCACTAAGGCCGTCAATCAAAAGTGTATTGCAACAACCAACATCAGGAAAAAAAAAAAAAAGGGAGAAAGAGAAAAATAGATCAAGATTTGAGATGAATTAAAATTAATAGGCTAATAGTTTACATAAGTTAATAAATAGGCTAAATTACTGTTTTCATCCATAACTTGTCTGGTTATGAACCATAACTTGATAAGTTTGTTCATAACTTATATGGTTATGAATCATAATTTGACAAGTTATGACCTATTAATTTCTATAACTAAAAATTGACCTATGTACTTTCTTAAACTTTTCATATTGACATATTTTCTACTATTTTCTAAAAAAAAAATCCAAATAACTATTGAAACTCTCCTGAAAACAGAGACTTTTAACTCTTATAAAGAGAGACTCGTCTCATTATATATACATATATAATATTACTATAATTATTTTCATATCAATAAATAGTCTCGCAATAGAGTTGTAATACATTCATATTATACTATATATACTATAAAAACAGTCCTTTTATCTATTTCTTAAACAGCATCTAATTTTTTTTGTCCCTTAATTTTTAAAAAATTCTGTCTGTCTTCCCACTTTTATTTTTACTGTTTTGTCCTCAACTTCTTATTCTTTCATTTGTTTTTTATTGAAGCGTTTTGGTCATTTCCGTCTCAACTTCATTTCGTGGTTATTAATCAACACGTGCTTTGGCACGTGTCAAACTCACTAGTTACAGCTAAAAAGCTAAGATCACATAAATTTAAAAAGTTAATTTGCAATATCAATATAACATAATAATAAAAATGGAATACTATTTTTTTTTTCCACGACAAGATATTAGCGTCTTTGTCCCACGAGCACGAAAAGCACGTGTCCTCGTCTCAATGTCTTTGTCTTTAAGGAGGCCACGTCATTATCGGAATCTAACAATACTATTATCTACTTTCTCTCTCCTGATAGAAACCGAAGGAAAGTGAAAGAGAAAACTGAAGAAAACTAGAAGAAAACAAAATAAGAAGCAGAGATTTCCCCATCAATGTTGATTCTTCTTCTGCTTCTTCTTCTTCGATAGCTTTCTCTCTCCTCTCTCTCTCTCTCTCTCTCTCTCTCTCTTTCTCTCTCTCCATGAATTCTCCTTTCGGAGGTCCGAGCGCTTCGAGCACCAGCCCGCCGGGGACACAGGCCAACATGGAGCGAAAAATGGCGTCCGCGGAGCAACTTGTGCTTGATCTCAGCAATCCCGATCTCCGAGAAAACGCCCTTCTCGAACTCTCCAAGGTTGCCTCTTTCTTAGTCTACACATTTTCTCACGTTTCGTTTCTGCTCTGGATTTGTTGAAATTGGATTTATTTTGTCTCTTGTTCTGGTTTGGGGTTTTTACTTGATTTTGACTTGGGTTGGTGCGATTGTAATCAGACGATCGTTAATCGGCGATTTTCGATTTGTTTGGTTGATGACAAAGTCCTGTTATTGTGAATGTTCTTGAATTTGCTGAAAATCCATTATGACATTTAAATAGATATGGCCCTTTTCTTGATTCGCCAAAACCTAAACCAAGTTGTGAAATTTGTTACCGATTTTAGCCTTAGGGCTTTCTTCTTCACAACCCCAACCACCACATTTCATCTAGTCACAACCAGGCTTTTGAAAGAATGCAAGTCTCTAGATTGTGCCAAGTTCTTCCACCAGCAAATCCTTGTACAGGGCCTAGGACACCATGTTACAGACCTTATTGGCGCATACATGGCTTGCAATGCTCATACGCATGCCGTGGTGCTGCTCGAGCCCCTCGAGCCGTCGCCGTTCTCTGTGTTTTGGTGGAATCAGTTTATTCGGCGTGCAGTTGGGTCCGGGTTGTTAAATGAGGTGCTCGGACTGTATCAGCGAATGCATAGACTTGGATGGAGGCCCGACGAGTACACGTTCCCTTTCGTTCTGAAAGCTTGCGGTGAGCTTTCCTCGTTCCGGCTAGGGGCTTCAGTGCATGCTGCGGTATGTGCAAATGGGTTTGAGGGGAATGTGTTTGTTTGTAATGCGGTGGTCACTATGTATGGTCGTTGTGGTGCACGGGATGATGCCCGCAAAATGTTTGAGGAAGTGTTGAAGAGGGGGATAGGCGATGTGGTTTCATGGAACTCGATTGTGGCTGCTTATTCCCAGAATGGTGATTCAGGGAATGCACTGAGAATGTTCGGTCGAATGATGAAGGACCGTAGTGTAAGGCCTGATGCTTTTGGCCTAGTGAATGTCTTTTCTGCTTGTGGTTCCATAGGCGTGTTGATGTGGGGTAAGCAGGTGCATGGTTTTGCTGTTCGGAGTTGTTTGCATGAAGATGTATTTGTTGGCAATGCCATTGTGGACATGTACGCTAAGTGTGAGATGATGGATGAGGCAAAGAAAGGTTTTGAACAAATGAAGGTCAAGGATGTGGTATCTTGGAATGCCATGGTCACAGGTTATTCCCAGGCTGGTAGATTTGAGGATGCTATTCGTTTATTTGAAAAGATGAGGACAGAAAAAATTGAAATGAATGTTGTGACATGGACTGCTGTCATTGCAGGGTTGGCTCAAAGGGGTCTCGGTTATGAATCCCTGAACATGTTTCGAAAAATGCAAGCTTCTGGTGTTGATCTAAATGTTGCTACCCTCGTCTCTCTTCTTTCAGGTTGTGCGTCTGCAGGAGCATTGCTTCAAGGAAAAGAGATTCATTGTTATGCCATAAAACGAGTTTTAAACCTAGATGGGAAAGATGCAGAGGAGGATATACTGATAATTAATGGTCTGATTAATATGTATGCCAAATGCAAACATCTCAAAGTGGCACGGATGATGTTTGATCTAAAAGAACCGAAGGGAAGACATGTGGTGACTTGGACAGCCATGATTGGTGGTTATGCTCAACATGGAGAAGCGAATGATGCTCTAGCACTTTTTTCCCAAATGCTTGGACGAGATAATTACAAAAAGCCAAATGCTTTTACTATATCTTGTGCTTTGATGGCATGTGCTCATTTAGGCGCACTAAGATTAGGTAACCAAATCCATGCTTGTGTAATTCGCAACCAGTATGATTCCATGACACCGTTTGTGTCTAATTGTCTTATCGATATGTATTGTAAATCCGGAGATGTTGATATTGCTCAAGCTGTGTTTGACAAAATGCAGCAAAGGAATTTTGTCTCATGGACATCGCTAATAGCTGGTTATGGCATGCATGGCCGTGGTAAAGAAGCTCTCCGGGTGTTTGATGAAATGAATAGAGTGGGTCTTGCAGCAGACAGTGTCACCTTTGTTGTTTTGCTCTATGCTTGTAGTCATTCTGGGATGATTGATGAGGGAATGAAATACTTTAATGGAATGAGCAAGGGTTATGGAGTTACTCCTGGGGCAGAACACTATGCTTGCATGGTTGACCTCTTAGGTCGTGCAGGTCGGTTGGGAGAAGCTTTGGAGCTTATCAAAGGCATGCCTATGGAACCAACGCCAATTGTCTGGTATTCTTTACTTGGTGGTTGTAGGATTCATGCACATGTTGAAATTGGGGAATATGCTGCAAATAAATTGTTAGAGTTGGGATCACAGAATGATGGGTCCTATATTTTGTTGTCAAACATATATGCGAACGCTAGACGCTGGAAAGATGTGGCCAGAATCAGGTCATTGATGAAACATACAGGGGTAAAGAAGAGGCCTGGTTGCAGTTGGGTGCAAGTGAAGGAAGGCACTATAACTTTCTTTGTTGGTGACAGGCGTCATCCTCAATCTCAGCAAATATACGAAACCCTTGGAAGCTTGATTGAACGAATTAAAGTCATTGGGTATGTTCCCGACACTAGCTTTGCTCTCCATGATGTGGGTGATGAGGAGAAAGGCTATCTTCTTTTTGAACATAGTGAAAAGTTGGCTCTTGCCTATGCCATCCTAGCATCTCCACCTGGTACACCTATTCGTATCTCCAAGAACTTGCGTGTTTGTGGCGATTGCCACAGTGCCATCACCTACATATCTATGATTGTCGAACATGAAATTATACTGAGGGATTCAAGTCGCTTCCATCATTTTAAGAAAGGCTCCTGCTCCTGCAGAGGTTATTGGTGACAGTGTAGCTAGAAAAAGGGTCATGCTTATGGTGAAGAAGCATGTATTCTTAGAAAAATGGGGACAAAGACAGAGAAAAAGAAATTGTGGTCAAAATTATTTAGGGATCGTGCTTATAGTGAAGATGCATGTATTCCTACAAAGGTTAAACCGTTGAAGTGTTGCCTTGGCTATCAGCTTACATTAAGATCGATACTCATTAAGGTTTGGAAAGAAGAAAACCTTGAGCTTACATGTCCCTTTCACGGTGTGCCTGTGTAAGGTGAAAGGAAGAAAGTTCGTACAAATTGTTTTTTACATTGCCGAGTAGCTTTAAAGATGCGGTATAAATTTTGTATGGGACAAACATCATATGCTCGATTCTTGAAATTTTGCACCTATTTGGAATTTGTAGAGTTTTGGGTTTTCTTTCTCCATACAAGGTTAAAGTTTTAGCTGCTTATTCTGTGCAACAAGCAGCATTTTTGGGAAAAAAATAATGTTTCTTTAACGAATTTGTTATATAACCGTAGTGTTCATTTTATTTTCTTGTTAGCTATTTTATCTCATGAAATGTGGATTCCTATTTTGCTGAGCAGTAATTGACGCTTTGAAAACTAGAGAAGGCGAAGAATAGTAATGTGAATTAAATTACATTTTTTCTATGCTTTTTGTCAGAGAGGCACTGGAATTTAGTTGTTAATATCTTGTGTGTTGCGAGGAATTATTTCAATATTTGACTTCTTTCTTGTTGAATTCTTTAATCTCAATATTGCTGGATTTATACATATATGCCTGATAGGTGTATATTTTGTTATTTTCAGAAGAGAGAACTATTTCAAGACTTGGCCCCTTTGTTGTGGAATTCTTTTGGTACTATTGCTGCATTATTACAGGTATCATTTTCATTGTTTTCATACTTTCCTTTTTTCTTTTTTTTTAATATTGGTTTCTAGTCTTCTGCTTTGTTGTAAAACGTCGTACTTCCAAATCCTCTTTCACAAAAAAAAAAAAAAAAAAAAAAAAAATTAAAAAAAAAAAAAAAAAAAAAAAAAAAAAAAAAAGGTTTCTACTTGATTTTATAAAGAATATTTTTGTATTACTAGTCATATACTCATCCTTCTTGTGTTTGATAAATTTAAAAAATATGCAACTGATACACATGGTTAAACATGTTTATCAAATTTCTTGGGGGAGATTGTCATGAGCAATTCTCTCTATTAGGTCTTTAGGCTTCTCGAATTGCGGCAATTTTAGGATTCAAAATTATTGCAGCGTATAATCTTACTAGTTGACAAAATATGAATTAAATTATTCCCTGAATGGAATTTTCTGATCTTTTTCTTTTATTCTATCCGCAGGAGATTGTTTCAATTTACCCTGTTCTATCACCTCCTAATCTAACTCCTGCTCAATCAAACCGAGTTTGCAACGCCCTTGCTCTTCTTCAGGTCAATCAGTTTATATTTTACTTTCATTTTTTCTATACCTCTTTTGTTTCCAGATTATGTCGGAATCATATCTTTTGTTATTTTCTAATTATCATTGCACTTTCAACATTGGATTTTCTTTTCTACTCTTCAACCTTAGACTTGCTAATGCTCCATTTTTTTTTTCTTGCAGTGCGTAGCCTCTCACCCTGACACAAGAATGTTGTTCCTCAACGGTAATAGGCTTTGATCTTATTCATTTCAAACTATATTCGCCTTTTGTGGTTGGCATACTTGTTTATGGAATTATTTTTCTTCAGTGATTTAATGCTTATATTTTGTCGATTACTTGAAATTTTGAGAACTCTTTCAAGTAATCTATTTTCTTTTTCAGCCCATATACCTTTGTATTTGTACCCTTTTCTTAACACGACAAGCAAATCAAGACCTTTTGAGTACTTGAGGCTTACTAGCTTAGGTGTCATTGGTGCCCTAGTGAAGGTACAACATCCTTTGCTGTCATAGAACTGTGTACTGTTAACTTTTTCCGGAATTGGTCGTAGATCATAATAAATGTACTCTTTTTTTCTTTACCAGGTTGATGAGACTGAAGTAATTAGTTTCCTTCTCTCGACTGAAATAATTCCACTGTGTTTGCGAACAATGGAAATGGGCAGTGAACTATCAAAAACAGTTGAGTGTCCTTATTTTACCTGATGTGAGAGTATATTCTTTTATTCATTGTGTTCTATCACAAAGTCATGGCTCATAAAGAGCACTTGGTTAGACTCTTTATAACAATTATTTGCTCGACATTTATGTAGCGAGATGCCCTAGACTTGCAAAAATGACACTCTTAAAGCAGAGTTGCAAATATGACTCCCTTATGGATCTGCTCTGTCCATCTGAGATTTGATATGTTTGATAAAAACATCTTCTGCTGCCAGGTTGCCACGTTTATAGTCCAAAAGATTTTGTTGGATGACATGGGCTTGGATTACATATGTACCACTGCAGAGCGGTTTTTTGCAGTGGGACGAGTTCTGGGTAGCATGGTTGCAGCACTCGCCGAACAGCCCTCGTCACGTCTTTTAAAACACATTATTCGATGTTATCTTCGATTGTCAGATAACCCAAGGTAGGTTAAGTATATTTTAACTTTACTATTACCAAATGCTAGTACCAAATCCACTCCCCGTCCCCGTCCCTTTTTCTTTTTCTTTTTCTTTTTTTGTTGTCCTTTTCTAATTAAGAGGCTGCTAAATCAACATTTGTGCTCTTCGTCATGCAGGGCTTGTGAAGCATTAAGAAGCTGCCTTCCAGACATGTTAAGAGATGCCACCTTCAGCAGTTGCCTTCGTGTAAGTTGACTATGTTTTTTCGGTTAGCATTTTATTTTCACGTTAGCACGAGAAAGAACAATCATCAGCATGTATCATGGTCTTCGGACGAGATTGTTCTTTTTCGTTGTTTTTTCTAGGGTCCTTGATTCTGGCCTAATGCTGCAGCATTGAATTATTTATTTTAGTTTACTGGTTTCTAAATTTCTGCGTTCATTTATTCTGATACTCTGAAATAGAGAATGAATGGTCAATCTTATTTCTGGTCTCAGCCATATCTCTGTCTCTTATCTTTTATTTTGGTATTCATTCTCTCTCCATTTTAGTTTGATCTTTTTCAATCCGTCCTCTGCTTCAGGAAGATCCAACCACTAGGAGATGGTTGCAACAGTTGCTTCAGAACGTCGGCGTAAGTCGGGTTCCTGGACTTCCACCCGGCGGAGGGTTTGAACATATGATGATGAACTAAAAACACAACGTTAAGTGAGAATTTAAATTATCATCTAATGTTTCTGGTTCAGTTTGTGCAAAATAGAGGTAGGACTCCTTGTGTAACTTATCATCATTCAGAGTGTAAATTAATTGGTAAAGTCCAGCTTTATGTAACTACTAGTATAAAAAAATAGAGAATTTATCCTTGAGAGTGCGTGATTAAAAAGATATTAAGAGTAAAAGATAAAAATCTTGACCCATATATTTTTAAATGGTATTTGTCAAGATTACCTTTTAATAATAGTTAGTTTTAAACATGATGATTAGCATTTACAATTTATTAAGGATAGGGAGGCATTTAGGAAAAAAAAAAGGTGAAACAATATATGGGGAATTTTTTTTATTGAGTATGAAAAATTCTCTATATAGTTCTAGATAATTAGAAATTCACTTCCAAAATCACATTAAACACGCAAAATTAACGGAATCGTGATTGGACGCTCAATAAAGTGCAATATATTTATATTTACCATATACCAAAAAATTCAATATTTGTGTGTTTTGTTTATTTCAATCATTTTCTCCTCAACACTCAGACCAATCCCTCTCGTTCTCTCTCTCTGTCTCACATCTACTCAAAGCCTCATTCCACAGTCTAGAATATTAACACAATCAATCAAATAATTATTCAATTTGTTTCCCTGCCTAGCTTGCTTGAAGGTGAGAAGCTCTAAACTTAAAATAATGATATCCGGTCAAATCAATTCACAGATCATGTTTATTATATTCCGTTTGGATTATGAGTATTGAGTTTAATTATGATTAGGTGGTTTGGCTGATGCAGATGATGATGATGATGGTGATGACTATAAATATATATATATATATATAAACTAAAAATGCTGGCGAGCTATCTATAAGACCTAATCGTCTGGACAATAATTAGGCTGTCGTAAATTATCAAAAAAATATCACCCATTGTGATGATGATCATTGTCGATTTTTAAACCAATCAAAGATTGATAAATAATTGGGGAGATCGGGAGAAATAGGTCAAGATTTTAGAGGAATTAAAATTAATATGTCAATGTTTAAGAGAAGTTAATAAATAGCCCAATCTGATGTAAATGTAAATCCAAATTTACGACTAGTTTGAAATTTCAAAAATCCCTTCTTTAGTAAATCTTGAATTTTACGTGTATGTCTTAGATTTACTACGGTTTTTAAAAAAATGATGCTAACCTGGCAAATCTTAGATTTATCAAGTATATTTAAGATTTACCGTTAGAATTTGTACTGTTCTTTTTCAAGTGATTCTAAATCGGTAGATTCTGGATTTAGCATGTATATCTAAGATTTACCATTAGAGTTTGTACGGTTCTTGAAAAAATGATGCTAACATAGTAAATTTTGGATTTACCATGTACATCCATGATTTATCATTAGAGTTTGTACGCTTCTTAAAAAGTGATGTTAACTTTGTAAATCTTAAATATACCAAGTATATCTAGGATTTACCATTAGCATTGTGCGGATCTTTTGTAAATAATTCTGATGCGATAAAATTAACACTAGCAAGTGCACCAATCGTTCAAGTAATAAAGTGATGAGTAAGATATCGTTTCCCAATGAGGATTGGTAAAATTCACAAATAAAATGATTAAACCGACTATGTTATTCGAGATTGCGAAATTGGGAGTAATGTGAATTAAAACTAAGTAAAGATTAAAAATTAGAAAAAGTAAAGAAACAAGATTTAAGAAAGAAATACAATGAGAGAAAATGTTAGAGAGTTGATTTCACCTACACCAATTCATCCATAAGCTCAAAAGAATGAATTTCAATTATTATTATCCATGACATGGTAGAATTCCCTAATGTTTAATTATCCATATTTCGGGTCTAATAAACTATCACATATATTCTTAACTTCAAATATCCTTATTTCAGGTCTATTCTAGATTAATTCAATATGAGATGCCTTAAAATTTGTGGAATCCTTTTTCGGTTAAATCTCCCTCTCGGTTACAATTTAAACTGACCACATGAATTTCTTTAAATCCCTATTCGGTTACTCCTCGTCCATTCATGGCATGTTCTATATTTTGCTTGAATATTATTCACATCCAAGATTCAATTCACAATTTAATGTTTCCTATCACATAGCTTCTCTATCCGAAACATCACTATGATCAATTCCCAAATTAAATAAATGAAAAGCCCTAAGAACAATAGAACACACTCTTCACGGAAAAATAATCAATTGCAACTCATTCAAATTGAAACTTAGAAATCATAGGTTCGGATCCATCAATCTCTAACTAAAAGTATTAAGCCATAATGAAATTAAATAAACCAAAGACAAATCTGGAAGACATCACCATATAAAATATGAAAGAAGAAAAGAAGAACAAAGGATAAATCACTTGATGGCCGAATGTTTTTCTTCCAAGAATCAGCCAATACTTCTCAGCAATACATCTCCGTGAATCTTCCTAAAAAACTCTCTGGAATCTCCCCGGAATTCCAGCCAAAAATCTCTGTTTTTCCCTCTGGAATATCTCCCCAGAAACCCCCTGGAATATCCCGGATCTTCCTCTCGTTTTCATTTTCAAACTCTCCCTCGAGATAGGGTTTTCTCCACAGAAATTGCAACTCTCTATCCTCTCCCAATCATCCCCAATTCCAGCGTGCAACCAGAGGAAGTAATACCATATGGCTGGGAGCTGAAACACACTGTCGTTTGGCTGGAATTAATCTCCTCCTCCGTGTGTGGGCTTAATGGGCTGGAATTTGGGCCTTTTGCTTGAATGAAGCATAATGCTATTTTGTTTTGGCTGGAATTAATCTCCTCCTCCGTGTGTGGGCTTAATGGGCTGGAATTTGGGCCTTTTGCTTGAATGAAGCATAATGCTATTTTGTTTTGGCTGGAATTAATCTCCTCCTCCGTGTGTGGGCTTAATGGGCTGGAATTTGGGCCTTTGCTTTGTGGGCTTTTAATGGTAATCTGTGGTAGATTATCATGCTTGCATTCATCCTGCAAAATTAGATTAAGAAGACATCAATTTGTCAACAAAATACCTTAAAACTAGCTAATATTAAACTTGCAAGAGCTTAATAAATCGATATAAAACCAACTCATCAAATTCCCCCAAACTTAACATTTTGCTAGTCCTCGAGCAAAAAGATGAAACAAAATAAACAAGATCTAAAACTGTCATCAAAACAACTGCCCAAGAATCGATTCAATTTGATATACCAAGCAAGCCTCAAAGATTGCATAATTCTCATAATTCCAGAAAAATCTCACACCATGCAAAGTCTAGAATTTCAAACCTAGTGCAAGCCTCATTGTACCTGTGATCCCTTTACGTATTCAAACAAATAACCATTCACACTAAAACCATTGCAATCCTAATCAAGTTATTCAAACCAGAATCCCTATATGATCTCTTAGGAGAATGTATGAGTAATTTCCTGAATTCCATAAGCTTGCTTTTCTTACCCCTCTTGCCCAAAAAGAATGAAAAGAGGGAATCCAAAGTCTTGTTCTTCAGTAAGCAATTCAACTATAAGCTTGTTTTTCATCATCTCTGTGTAATATAATATTTAGCAAACAGAACTTTGGAAAGGTGGATGCAAGATTGGGTTGTTTTCAAATCCCAAGTCCTTGACCAACTTCAATAATTTGCTTTCTTGATGTCGCTTTGCTCTTTCTGTATTTATGCCCTTCTCCATTAGCCCACTTGACACAAGTAACAATACTTTCAAGAATAGTTGGTTATTTTAAAATAGATTAATCTCATAAATAGTCTTTAAAGTTTACTCTTAATAGCACTTTAGTTCTTGACTTTTTAAACATCTCACTTCTTTATTTCAGTTTGTCATTTTATTAACTAGTTGTTAATCTATGAAAATTAAGAATCAAAAATCAAAAATATCTTAAATTTAAGGACTAAAACAAAATAATAAAATAAATCAATTTCTACAAGAGTCAATTATACATTTCATTTAAAAAAAATCATAGGTCATTGGCGGGTTGCGGGTTAATGTTCCTTGTAAGTCATAGGTCACATAGGCAACAAGTTTCGGTAGGTCATGTTAGTGCCAACTTGTGTTACAGCGGGTCGGATTAGTATTGAGATTTTTCAACCTGCTCCTATCACGAGTCTGGTTTGGGTTGGGGTATTTTCTGGAGAAAAAAAAAAGTTCAAGAGCTAAATATGTTAAAAACTCAAAATTTAAATAGCAAAGTTTAAAAATATAATCAATTTGGTGCCTTTTGTTATATCAAAATATCTCGAACGTACCTTGATTTTTTAATAATATTAAATAGGTTACTTCGAGTTTTAGAAAACAGTTCATAGGTATCCTAAGAACCTTTTTTGGAATCTAAAATGCCCTTTATACTCTTCCATTTAATTAATTAGAGAATATTTTAAAAAAGTTTAAAATGTTTTAAAACATTTAAAAATTAAAAAACCCCTCAAAATTTTTATTTTTATAATGTGAATTTTGAAAAAAAAATGTTTTTAAAATATTTCTGTAAGATTTTAAATTTTAAATTCTAATTAATTAATTAATTTGAGAGTGTCAAAAAAATCGTAGAGCACTCACAATAGGTTTTAAAAACGAAAACTACCAAAATGACAAGAGTACTAAAATGATTTTAAAAACAAACAAAAAAAAGTTAAATTACTACAATTAACGCCATCTTTTTCATCTATGTTTAATAAATAAATAAATAAACATGTAGGGTTATGTGGGGATAAAATGAGATTTTTTAAATTTTGAACGTCAAGTTGGGGATGACAGTTCAATGGTGCAAATAACTCACTCTATTTTTAGGACTCATTCATTTAACAGATTTAAGTTTTTAATTTTAAATTTTTACAGTAAAAAATTCTCATAAAATGTCATATTTAATTTTTTTATTACAGTAAAAAATTTTTAAAAAATATCATATCTCAACTCAAATTAAAAACTTAAATTTACAAAATGAATAAGGTCTTAAATTCTTTACCTAATATCTGAGGCAGAGTCCATCTTTTGAGGGGGTAGGTTTCGTTGCCTCGTTTGCGGGTTTTTTTTTTTTTTTAAAACTTTCTACCTTTTCCTTTCTTTATATCTTTATATCTTTTTATTTTTAAAATATCTCCTTTTTTACTCTTTTCTTTCTTTTTCTTACGTACCCTTTTTATATTTTATCTTTTTTATTCTATTACACTTTTTCTCTCTTTTATTTTAAATTGACTCTCACAAATATATTTTTTTTAATTTCATTTTTAAATAATTTCTTCTTATACATATTATTTAATTTTTTAAAATTATTATTCTCTTGATAAAACGTTTCGTTAGTGAGTTTTTTTTTTATTTTTATTCTTTTTTCTCTCCTTTTCTTTTTTTAATTTCTCATTTTTTCATTCTTATCATTTTGTCCTATTATACTTTTTTTATTTTTTATATGAAATCTTAATAAATATGTTTTTCATTCTTAGTTACAAAAATGACAATCGATTTTTTCCTTTTTATAGAGAGAGATGAGGCGTTTCGTTGCCTTCTTGTTTCATTGCCCATTTTTTAAGATTTTTTTTTTCCTTTTCTTTTGTAGCTTTTTTCTTCTTCTTTTTTTCTTCTTTTTTCTCCCTTATCTTTTCTTGTTGCATTTTTAACTTTTGATTTATGTATATATTTTTAAATATATCTTATTTAAATATTTTTTTTACGGTTATCTAAATTGTTATTTTTGTAATTGCTATGTTAAATTAATTTATTGTCAAATGTGTTATATATAAACATTGTTAGCTTGTAACCCTCATTTCAAAACATTTCACATAAGTTTTTTTTTTTTAAATTTTTTTAATCCTTTTTGTCCTGTCTTTTACTTTATATCTTTTTTCTCATTTTTATCTTTATTTCTTTGATCCTTTCTTTTTTCTTTCTACATGATTTCTATAACTGTTGTTTTAAATACGTCAAGCACGCGAAGCGTGCATTTTTTTACTAGCATGTGTAGGATGAATTTTTAGTGGTTACAATTTCGTGATTGTTACTCATTAGATATAAAAATTTGATAAAGTAGCGTAACAAAAATCTAATGTCATTAATTAAGATTAATTTGTTTGTTCAGATATTTAATTTATTATTTGGTCAATATCTTATGACTAAACATTAATATCAATTAATCAATAAATATTAAAATAACTATTAAAACCACATATATAATAATAATAATAATGACACCAAATCTTATTTTAAGTTTTTTTTACTAACTTTAAGTTGTCATCTGTTCCTCCATAAATGTATTTGTTAAAATAACAATCTTTTATTAATAATTATTAATAAAAAATGACAATACACAATTATAAAAAATTAGGCTCAAAGTTAAATGTCTCTACCATTATTATTATTATCATTACTATTCAGTTTTTTTTCTTTTTAATTCAGATTTTTTTATTAAAAAATGATTTATTGTTTTTTTCCTTTGCACATTTCAACGTTTTAATTAAAAAGGACTTGACAACATAGGACAGTCATTTCACGTCCCAAAAAGTACCAGTCTCACTAGATTGCCCCTCGCCATACTTCCCAGCTAAGAATATTGAATTTTCAAACCCCCAACACCCAAAAAAATAAAAATAAAAAACCCCAAAAACCCCAGAAAATAAAAAAAAAATAAAAAAAAAGACTAAAACCCAAACTTTCCGGTCTTTTTGACACCACATTCCACAGACAAACTTCAAAAAAAAAAAAAAAAAAAAAAAACCCACCTGATGGAGCCGATTCATCCGACAGCATTCTTCCATGCGGGGCCCACCACTTTCAGGACGAGCTCGATCGTCGTCGGCGGCGTCCTAATCGAGCCAGCGAAGTCGCCGCTTCCGCCTCCGCCGCCAAACGGCGTCGTGGCGGTGGAGAGGATACTCGGGTACAGCTTCACGGACAAGAGGCTTCTGGAGGAGGCGCTGACCCACTCGTCGTTCTTCCCCGACGCGACGCCTTCGTATCAGCGGCTGGAGTTTCTCGGCGACGCGACGCTGGGGCTGGCCGTCAGCAACCACCTCTTCCTCGCCTACCCGGGGGTGGACCAGGGTCAGCTCTCGCTCCTCCGGTCGGCCAATATCAGCACCGAGAAGCTCGCGCGCGTCGCCGTCCGGCACGGACTTTATCGGTATCTTCGCCGGAACGCCCCTGCTCTTGACGAAAAGGTTTTGGTTTGCGATTCTTGCATTTTAATTTTTTATTATTGTTAATATTAATATTACTTTTGGAATTTATAGCTAGAGGATCGGAAAGAAACAAAAGCGGTTTTTTTTTCTTCAATTTTTTTAGTGAAGTAATGATATGATTCTTTTGGTTCTCTCTGGAATTTTTTTTATTTTTTTTCTTTGTTTTTATTTTTAGGTGCAAAATGTTTAGATTTTACACCATGCAAGTGGGAATTTTGTTTTTTGTTTTTTTTGTTTTTTCTTGGCAAAACTTAACTAGAGGAGCAAAAGGAAAGGGAGAATGTTTTTGGGTTTTGTTTATGTTTTTTTTTTTTTTTTTTTTTTTTTGTAGTTTTATATTTGGGTGCAAAGTATAGATTTTTGTTCATGCAGAGTTGTAGACTGATTTTTTTTTTATTTGCCCTTTTTAATTCTCAGGGTTCTCGATGTTTTTGTTTTTTTTTTTTTTTTCCTTAAAGATTTGTAGGGGTGAAGAAATGATTTCTGGTCGAGCGTGATTTTGGTTGCTGTGGGGAAAGGAAAATTTACTGGGAATTTAGATCAAGAGAAGGAGACTTAAGAATGTTTTTCGTTTTTATTTGTATTTCTTTCTTTTGTTTTCCTTTAATCCCAAAGTTTTAGGATTCTTGATGATCCTTTTTTAATCGTTACGTTAATGATTTTAGGCTAAAAGAAGAATTTTTGGTCATGTAGTAATTTGAGTCATTCATCTTGTTTGTTGATTTTAACTTCATAGGTTAGGGAATTCGTTGAAGTTGTGAGTAATGAAGACGAAGCGGTTGTGCATGGTGGATCAATAAAAGCCCCTAAAGTTCTTGCTGATATAGTGGAGTCTATAGCGGCTGCTGTTTATGTCGACGTCAACTTTGATTTGCAAAGACTCTGGGTGGTGTGTGCTAAGATTTTCTTTGTTTTGTTCTTTATTGTCTTTTTTTCTTAATGCATCAATATATCTTGGTTGGCTTTGATTTTGGATTTTGTTGATGAGATTTTGAGTGTTTGGAAGATGGGTATCCAAGGAATTGGTGTGTTTCTCTTGTTATGTGTGTTTGTAGATCTTTAGGGGTCTCTTGGAACCTATAGTCACGCTCGAAGACTTGCTAAAACAACCGCAGCCCATTACGATGTTGTTCGAGCTTTGCCAGAAGCAAGGTAAGCATGTTAATGTAGAGCATTGGAAACAGGACTCCAAAAGTATCGTTAGTATTCATGTCGATGGGAATTTTGTTGCCTCGGGTTCTTCCGAGCAAAAAGATATTGCCAAGCTAAATGCTGCTAAGTTGGCTTTGTGCAAGCTGTGGAAATCAATGCCTCCTACTGATGGATTGGCTAAGATCATGGATGGACTTGATGAGTCATTTGAGATCGAGGGAGCAAAACAGAAGTTACATGAGCTTTGCGGCAAGAAGAAGTGGGCCAAACCAACTTACAAGTATGGCATTGTTGCTTACTCTATGAACTCATGAAGAATTGAAAGAGTTGGTAGATGCTTGAATGGTTAATGCTAGAATTGCATACTATCTATTTGGACAAATTATCCCAACTCACCCCCCTGCATATTAAAATTTCATCCCCCGACTTCTCTTTTTTTGTCATTTCAAGAATTTGTTCTTTTTTTTTTTCAAGTTCACCCCTCTTCACGAATATGCCAGAAAATGCTGAATCGTGTGTACTTTGCTACAAATTGCAGCATTGAGAAAGAGAACGGGCGAGCACATGAAAAAGTTTTCGTATCATCCGTTAAAATTTCAACCGCATACGGTGTACTATACATGATGGGAGATGAAAAATCAAGAGTAAAAGAAGCAGAAAATTCTGCAGCTTCCTTGATGATCCGTGCCTTACAAGAATCTGATTACCTATGATGTTGCTTCTGCTTCATAGTTCAAATCGCGGATTAATCTTACAAAGGGCGGCCTTGGGAAAAACGATATTGACGATTTTTCATGTGATGCGAGTTAAGTTCTTGGTAAAAGTTGCTGAAATATGCAAAAATTCTGGGCCTTCCATGATGATCAATGCCTTGCGGGACTCTCCTTATGTTATGCTGTGTGATGTGTCTCTTATCCGAATTCCGAAAGCCCCATAAGAACAGTCAAAAGCTTTACAGATTTTGTTATTGCTCTAGTCTGAAGTTTCTGGTTGAAAGCTTGGTTTGCTTTATAATATTTGTGTAAGAGGAAAGACTGATAATTTCCTATCCTTGCATAAGTTATTAAAATGGCCTTTTTTTTTTTTTTTTTTTTTGTAGCAGTAATACATTGAAGCATTTTATAAGTATCACTAGTGGATTATTTTCATTTGTGTTATCGTCACATCAGAAATTACCACGAGTAACTCTTGTAATTGTGAATATATTTTATTATTCATGCTAAAATGACTGATACTAATTAGTGTACTTTGGAATTATGTCGTTTGACAATTGATACGAAAGAAAATAATCAAAAGTCATTATCTATTAATGGTTTATTTAGTTCGTTAATTTTAGTTTTTAATTTGAGTTGAGATGTGATTTTATATGAGAATTTTTTATTGTAACAAAAAGATTAGATGTTACTGTTTTTAAAAAAATTTTATTATAATAAAATTTTAATTTTAAACTTAGATCGGTAAAATAAACGGATTGTAAATATATTTTTAAGGTCTTCATCAAACATGTATTTTTAAGGTCTTAATAAAAAAGAAAGACCTTTTCTTCTAATTAGTTTTTTTTTTTCCTTAGATATAAGGATGCTAGAGAAGAAAATAAATAAATTAATATCGATCTCTTTTAATTCCCAAATAACAATTTCTCACCTTAAAAAATGGATAATGGAAAACATAATAAACTCAATCCTTGTAACATCTACCTTCCAGTACTATTGTCATTTTACATTCTTCGTAACTTTAACATTTCTAGACATGTTTAGTTCGTTAATTCGAGTTTTTAATTTGATTTGAGATGTGACATTCTGTGAGAATTTTTTACTGTAATAAAAAAGTTAGATGTGACTGTTTCTGATAATTTTTTACTGTAGCAAGGCTCAAATTTTAAATTCGAATCAGTAAAATGAACAATGTCTCAGTATATATTAAGATATCAAGATTCTGGAAAGCAGTGAACACTTCCCTTTTCTGCGGATTTACAACTTCATAGACAGAAAAATGGGAAGAGAGAAAAGAAAATATTCAAACCTCAAATGAGAAACTTTGCGAATGCGCAACAAGACGATGAGAAGTTTGAGAAGCAAATGAGAAGCTGAAAACAAAGCGTGATTATGCGAAAGATTGGTGATTATGAAGCAGTACTTGACACAACACAGGGAAAGATGAAATAAAAGTTGCATAATTTCTGTTTGTTTTGGACTGTGCCTAAAACAGAAGACCTTTCCTTCACCAATTTACTTGATTTGCATGTGCTCACCAGTCATGGAGCTAGAAATATATATACATATATATATATATATATATATGTATATATATATATATTAAGTAGAGGACTAGAGGCACTAAAAAAAATTAAAGATAATATGTATTGAATAAATGTATAGTTATATACTTTCATTATTGAGTGGAGGCAAATTTATAATTTTTCTTACAAAATAGAGGCACAACAACATTTTTTAATTATTGAGTGGAGTGAAGGCACGATTAAAATTTTTCTTAAAAAATAGGGATATATCTAAAATTTCTGAAAATTTGTGGATAAAAAAACAAACTTTAAAAATTGAGTTGGAGCACGCACCCCACTCAATCACCTTATGTTCTTTCTGTGTATGTTTCTTTTGTTTTATTTGTGCCTTAATTTTCCTTAGAAGGAAAATATTGTATTGGAAGGGTTATTTGCAAAAGTAACATTAATATATATATATATATATAATCTCAATACTAGTACTATTTCTTATGTGAGCAAATGAGGGTTTTGCGCATTTATCTAGAATTCCCTTTGACAAATCCCTAGAGTAGTTTTCTCTCTCGCATTCTCCTTTTTTCCTATCTCCATTTTCTCCATTTTCTCACACAATAGCCACCATTTCTCCCAACCTGGCAATAACCACCACCAATCACAGCCTCGCCTCTCACCACCCCGCCACAGCCAGCGCGGAGCGACTCAACTCGCCCCCAAGGCCCTAAGCCACCTCCAGCCGCCATTGCTACGACCCTAGCCTCCTCCCATTCCCCCTCTCATATGTCAAATATTGAAAACCTTTTTAGTCTTAAGCGTAAATTGTCTAAACTGTTGAAATTATCTAAGTTGTTCAAATTGTCTATGAGTGATTAGGTTTAATTGGTTTTTGTTAAAACTACTAAATTATCAAAAAACATAAATATATTTAATTGTTGATTTGATTGATAGGTTTTAGGGGAAAAAAAAAACATCAAAACCATCTGAAAAATATCCCTACCTCAAAATGTCTTTTGAGCAACTCATCATTCAAGTGACAAACTTGTTAGATTTTCTTTTTTTTTTTAAGCTGGTCATTACCCAGCTTATTTTACCATCTCATCTCTTTTTTTTCTTTTTTTTTTTTTTGGCTCAGATGATTTAATCAACTAACATAAGAGACGTTCACTAGTTGATCAAATCAAGGTGGTTTTTGCTCAACCATTTTTACCCTCAACATTCCCCTTGCTCAAACCATCTTATTCCACAATTATCCTTAACTATTTTCATAAAATTATTAATTCTATATCATTTCATTTTCATTTTACACCAATTATTTCATTTTTAATTCCTTATTTTGACATTATCATTTCTCCATCTCTCTCTTTTTTGTTTGGTCTTTTTTCCTCGTTGAAACTTTAGGCATAAAGCATTTATTCATATACAATGAGATTTTGCTGCTACATTTTTTAAGAAAAATAAAATACATTTACTTGCTAAATAGCAATGTCAAAAAAATGTAAATTGAATATTAAATATTTTTCTACGGTGAATGTTTTATTTTTCTAAAAAAATATAATAGTAAATTTTCTTTATTTATGAGAATGCTTCGTGCCTAAAACTTCAAAAAAAATCTAAAGTTAAAAATTAAAATAAATGGTGGGTGTGAAGAAAGAATGGAGTGATCAAGTATTAATAATATCATGAAAACAATTAAGGATAATTTTAAAATAATAAAAGTGTATAAAAAGTAAATTTAATAATGTGACATGCGTACTTAAAAAGGTATGAAGACTAAAAATGCGCCTGTGAATAAAACCGTGCATAAAAATTAAAGATTAAAAATTGAAGATGAAATTAAATCTAAAAATATTCTTTTACGCATAACCAATAGTAAGAAATTCTAAAGTAAAAAAGTAAGAACAGAGCAGCATCTAAGGGTTCGTTTGGTATGAAAATTTAAATTAGAGTGATTCTAATCATGATTCTAGAACCATAACAATGATTTATGATTTTGAGTTCAAATCATGATTCTGAAACTATGATTCAGAATCAGGGGTTTGAATCATCTTGAATCAAGAGGGGGTGGTTTTAAAATCATGAGTGAATTTGGTTTAAAACATCACATCATATTCTGAATCATGATGCAGAATCATCCAAACCAAACACTGATTCTAAAACATGATTCAGAATCATAATTCAGAATCACTATAAACAAACACTGATTCTGAATCAAAATTTAAAATTATAATTCTGAATCTATTTACCAAACGTGACCTAAAAAATGTGGAAACGATGTTGCGGTCCTTGAGGTACTGTGAATACCGTTCTATGTTACGAGTTCTGTCGTCTATGTTACATCTTTGAAAAGAGGGTAAGATATACACAGTAACATTATCTTTTTATTTTATTTTATTTTCTTAATTATTAGCCATTTTTCTAAGTTATATATTTTGAAATGTCATTGGTCTCGTGCCATATGCTGATCTGAACGTTCCAAGACGAATAAAAGTAAATGTTGATGTCAACGTTCCAAGACGATAATCAAGATGGAAAAAAAATATTATTTATATCATATTATTTAAAAATAAACAATTAACATTCAATCAATAGGAAGAAAATAAAAAAAATAAAAAACAATGACATTTGATTATTTAGAATGGTATAAATAATAAGTTTTCAAAAAATTATGGTAAACTATATATTTTTCACTTTTTATTAACAGTATTTTATTACACCTCAATCAGCATTATAAGAAAATATTCATATTTGCAAATTGCACTTTGGTCAGGTACTTATATTTGTTAGCAATGATGCAAGTTAAACTTGTTTTTGCGACGTAACCTATATAAAAAGTTGTCCAAGAAAACATAAACTTTGGTGCTCCTCTGTGTGGTACACTAATTTATAATTTTAAGTTCAAATTATATTTTTAAAACCAGAACTAATATCATGGATTTGAACCAATTAAGATGGTGGTTTTAGAATCAAGGGTGATTCATGGTTTAAAACATCACATTAGAGTTTAAATTTTGAATCAGAATCATCCTAATCAAACACTTAGTCTGAGTGAGTCAAATTAAAACCATTTTTTACTTTTTCTAGACAAACACTAATTCAGAACCAGAATCATAGTTCCGGATTCAAAACTCTTATACCAAACAACATCTAATTTTAAAAGGTTTTGTATGGATATGAAAAAAAAAAAAATGGCCGGAGATGAAGGCTGCTGTGAAGGAAGGCGAACAATAATGGAGGTTGTCAAAAATTTGGTGTCAGCCGGCAGCAATGAAGGTTGCCGGAACAACGGAAAAATCGTCAAGAACTAAAAGATGGCTCTGATACCATAAGGTTTTGAGAGAAAAATTATTCTCAAAACTAAACACCTGATTTAGAACTTATACAATAGAGGACTGTTTATCCAAAGAAAAGTAATTAATGCCCCGTTTATTTCACCTATTCGAGTTTATTATAGTAAAAAGTTCTCAAAAAATAGTCACCTCTAACTTTTTTACTACAGTAAAAAATTCTCACATAAAATCACATATCAATTTAAATTAAAAATTTAAATCAACAAATTAAACGGGACTCCTTAGAAAAGTAATTAAAGGCCCGTTTAGTTCGCTGATTCGAGTTTTTAATTCGAGTTGAGATGTGATTTTATGTGAGAACTTTTTACTGTAGTAAAAAAATTAGATGTGACTGTTTGCGAAACTTTTTTACTGTAATAAAACTTAAATTATAAACTTAAATCAGTGAAATGAACGAGACCTAAATCTCGTTAATTTACACCTTGTTACAGCTAGACAACCATATTTGTGGAAGCTATATTTACACGCATATCATTGATCTTCCAACACTACTCATTATGGCC